AAGAACTTTTGCTGTATACAATTAAAAATCATTTTTTTCAAGCTCCTTATCCAGTAATGTTAAAAGCAAAGCATCTGGTTTCAATTTTATATTCATTGTAAGAATATTTTGGATTAAAACATAATCTGCCCCAATATTTCTTTGCTTTATTATGAGTCTATCAAAGAGGATAAAAAGTTTCTTCTTTACAATTACATTTCCAACATATGTACATTTGAGACACCTTTATACATCTTTAACAATTTGTCAGGCATTTCGTACCAATGCTGCATCATTTTGTAAAAGTTTCCTTTCAGATTATAGTTCAGTGTCAAACCATTTGTCCATTGCTCGAGCATTATATACAAAATAAATTATTTGCCTATTGAATCGTACAGTATTTCACAAACTCATTTTCCAGTTTAATTTAAAAAACATTTTGCAACAACATGTTCATCATTAGCACACAATAAATTTCAAATTCATTTTTTACAGATTCAAATCCATAATATTTCTTGTCTAAATTAAAGCTTGCTTTCAGTTGTATGTCTTTTAGCCAGTGACAGGTATGCCCTTTTGATTGCAATTCTGCTTTTGATTTGAGGTTATGCTCGCTTTGATTTGTATATATTATTTCACTATAAGCTTACCAGTCATCATTTCTTTTCTAAAAAAGCTTCCTGTTGTCTTCAAAATTTTATCACTTGAACAAATTAAAAAAGAACATAAACTAACGATCAAGAGAAAACATAAAGAGTGAAAAGAGAATAAGGATAGAATTAGTATTAAAAAAAGAAAGGAATATGTATGTATGTATGTTATTCGGCTTTGTTCAGGCATTTTCCCACGTCATTATAGTTGTGCTTTTAAAGTTGTAGCAACATTTTGGCAGAATCTCATCTGCCATCATCAGTCTTCTGTATTGTGTTCGTCTGTGAGTCAGACTTTTTACAGTTGTTTCAGTTTTAAATTTGGGGCTAGCCTACTGCTGTGCCAGAATGGTTTTTTCTTCATCCTGATTGGTTGGGAGTCTTGGTCTGTGTTTATTGGTCTTGGAGTTTGCTGTGTTCTGCTTGATTGGTGTTTCTGATATCTTCTGTCTGTTTTGTGGCTTTTTTTGTCTTGGTTGGCTGGCAACATTGTGTTCCTGTATTGGAGGCTTTTAGTGTAGCTTGGCTCCGAGTAAATGGACGGCTATCATTTGTTAGGAAACTAGGTTTCATCTGGGTGCCTGGTTGGGATGTGTTTGAGCTGGAGGTATCAGGGGGGATCTGTTTGTGTCCAGGTGTTTGCCTGGCTTGTGGTGTGAATAACCTGTGACTGCTTCTTTAAAGGATATAAAGTACACTTACATCCAACTTACATTCAACTCTTACTTTAAGACTATAATATAATGTTCATTCCCACCCCCGAAAGAAAGGGGAAATATTTTTTTCTTTTTAAATTTTAACAATCGTCAAATTCATATGTCAAAATTTGACTTTTCTCCGTCTCTTGCAAAATGTCCACAAAAAACTGCCAATTATAGATTAATTTCTTGAGTGATTTCTTTTAAAAGAGCTATTACCTTGATTACTTAACTTGAAAATTCTTCACTGATTTCTATGAAATTTGGCATGTTTTATTTCTTCATAATGGATTAAGTTTTTTTGTTATGTTTCATACAGTTCAGGTGAAAAGCATACAGCAATAACTGAGATTATTAAGGTGTAAATTCAAAAGATTCTGAAGTATTTCCATGAAATTTGGAATTTTATTTTCTCTTAATGATCTAAGTTGCCAGCAAGGATTATCCTATTCTGATAAAATACAAGAGAAAGAGAGTTATAGGCACTCTATTAGGTTATTTATTATTAGAATGCACTTTTATACCTTGTAAATAGATTTTTGTGGCAATTGAAAATGTTAAAATTGTTCCTCTATTTTTTGCCTCAAAGATCACATATGGCTAAAAATAATTTGGGTTTATTAGGAATATAACATTGTTATTAATTGTGATACTTTTACAAAGAAAAACCCTCTTTAATTACACTTTTATTTGTTTAACATGTAATTTAAATCTGAATTTGACAGGGTCAACATAACCTACTAGTTTCAACTCAGACCTGACTATTTTCCAGGTTGTTGAAAGAAAAATGTGAAATGCTTTTTAAAGTCTTTACAACACATTAAACACAAAACTTTTTTAGTAGAGGATGTTCTCACTTAACAAACATTTGTGAGAAGTTCCAATGATACTGAATAATAATTACAACTGGCCGTCCTTAGTAGCAGCACTCCACAGTCACATGATCCAAATTCGGTTGCTTGGCAGCCCACCTCATTTATAATCATAGGATGTGCTTCATCTTACCCCATTGCCTATCTCCCCCATCTCTGCCCTTGTAGCCATTCAGATGACAAAATTGATTCCTGTAACAGTTCATCTTTGTTTTGAGAGAAAATGCCAAAAATATTTGACAATGGAATATTAGGGACTTTCAGTTTGATGAAACTGACTCATATGTTCTGTGCTAACACAGCATCTTGATGGAAAAAAGTGTAGCTTTTCACTAGACTGGAATATTTTCTATGTGAATCTTTAGAACAGGAAATAAAAAACAGCTAATGTTTCATGGGGCATGTGGAATTAGTTTAGGAAAAGCTGAACCCTTATCCTTCTGTCTGCCTCCTTTTTCCAGTGCTGTTTTGTCTATGCCTGCTTTCGAATATGTCAACAAATTTTCTTTACGCTCCGAAGTGGAGAAAGGAATAGGTCTGAGGAGAATAGTGGTCCTTTCCATTTAGACAGAAAATGTAGAACAGATGTGTATTCAAGAAGGTACAAGTTGATCTTGTTAAAATATTTGTAAAGAAAAATAGCTTCAGGATCTTCCAAAGAAAATCTCTTGAGCTCTAGAGATAGAAGAAAGGGAAATGTATTTTGTTATTCTGATAGCATTCTTTCCGTACAAGAACTGATGATGAATCAAGATATGCTTCAATCTAGGAATCTAAATTGAAGAATTATAAGTAAGAACAGAAAGCAGTTATGACTTGAGGCTGGATTATTGTTTTTTTTAATAATTCTTAAGCAGAATTATAGTTTCATGGCCATCCTTATTTACTGAAAAGAATACTGTTGGAGAAACACAGCTAGTTCAAGTAAAATTATCTACCTACCTACCTACCTATCTACCTAGGACTACAACTGTGCATCTAGGTTGTGAAAAATACAGACAATTTAGAGTTGTGCAGATGTTTGCAGCTTGAACAATCCTGACTTTGATAAAATCATAGGTAGCATCTATGATATTTCTTCCCTCTGAAGTAAACATCGATAAAATCTTAGCAGTTATTTAAATATTGTCATATGTATGTTAGCCATGTTTTAGGATTTATTAAGGATACTTTTGTTAAACTGTTACTTTTTAAAAGAACAATACAGATAATCCTCAACTTACAACCATTTATTCATCGACCATTCAAAGTTACAATGGTCCTGAACAAATGGTTACAACTTACAACCTGTCCCACTAGTATGCACTTATGACTCGTTGCAGCACTCTGTGATCATAGGATTGCTGTTTGCTATCCTCCCCTGCTGGCTTCCCCAAAAAGGTAATGGGGAAGCTGTCAGAGAAAGCCCCTCTGCATGTCACCTACACTGGTCACTTGTGCATCATCCCCATTCTCTGCCTCTCTTGCATTTTCTCTCACCCTCCACAAATCTTGCTGTGCACCCTCATGCACCCTTCCTGATATAAGCTGACCTCCCTTGGGAACCCTCAGAGACGTTCCCCAAGCCTCCCCATGCCTCCCTTGCATTCTCACAACCCTCTTGTGCTCTCCTTCATCTGACAGTAGCTACTAATCCACTTGATAGCTTGCTTGGGACTATTCCGGTCCTAATTTCCATTGTAAGTCGAGGACCAACTATACTTTATATAGGAAGGCAGCATGTCTTAAAGCAGGAATGTCAAACTCATGTTGTCATGGTGGCATCATGTGACGTATCGAAGCTTTTTTGCCCTTCGCTAAACCGGGTGTGGGTGTGGCCAGTGCACAATGTATCCGACCCATGGGCCGGGAGTTTGACAGCATTTAAAACTGCTGTAAGCTGGAATTTTATCATAATTGACAAAAAGCATGGCTGTACTTTTTTTAAAGATTTTTTTTATCCCCCCTTTATTATTTTTATTTATAATTCAAGGCAGCCAACATACAGTTTCTGATACTCCTTCTTCCTCCTATTTTCCCCACAACAATGAGCCTGTGAGATGAGTTGGGCTGAGAGAGACTGACTGGCCCAAAGTCACCCCAGCTGATTTGTCACGTCTGAGGTGGGACTAAAAGTCACAGTCTACTAATATCTACCCTGTAACCTTAACCACTATGCCAAATTGGCTATATAATCCATATAAAAACAATTGTAATGAATATAACTAGTCCTTTTTTGTGACTTTGTCCTTAAGGCATTTATAACAGCTTGTTTCTCAACCAATATTGTTAACACCTTAACTACCATCATTAACTATTTTACTTAAAACAAGCAAGCAAGACTATTTTTAATGAGATATTAAGTAGTAGTAGGGATTATAAAGACATTGGTATAGAACATAATTTCTCGTACTCCTTGATATTTTATTTGAAATATACTTACTATTACCAGTAATATATTTTGTACGGCTGCAAACACTTTGAAAATTATTTGGAAGTATCTAAGACCTGATTTAAGGACAGCCTTAGCTCATTTCTATTACTTGTTCAAGTATGCAAGCGTGAAAAATGATGCCACTACTTTAATAGTCATATTAAAGACTTGCTATTATAATTATTAGATTTGATAGAAAAAGCATCACCTGTTTTCCAGGCTTATGTATTCATTTGTACTTGGAAAGTACTGTAGTTCAAAGCAGAGAAAAATAAAAGATTTCTTAATGTGTGCATTTTTAAAATATGCTGTTTTAATGTTTTACTGGGGAAAACTATAATCAATTTACCAAGAATTGTTGATTGATCCTCTTTCTTATAATCCTTAGGACAGTGAAAAGAAAGGCTTTATGAATAAACTCTATGCCATTCAGGAAGTGTGCATCAGTGTTCAGAACATCCTCGATGAGGTGGCTTCTCTTGGAGAAAGGATTAAGAAGTAAGTATCGACAAATGGTTGCTTAGCTGTTCTCAAATTATGTTCACACCAACACTGCCAGATTAATCAACCAGCAATACTATGGGAACTATTTGTGTACTTCCTTGTCAAGCCAAGCCAAGAGACACAATATTGGGGAAGAAATTTGAAGAAAAATTTAGAAAAAACTGCATAAATTTCTTTCAACAAAGTGTAAATATGTGCTTTCATGGAGTTTAGAGCAAATTTTAGCTCCAAAATTGCTTTTTAGGGATTGGGTCCAAAGCATCAACACATGCCATATTCTACACTCATGTGTATTCATAAACATGTTGATTCTTTCACTGAAATTAATCTTGTTCCACTTAAAGATCTATATTCTACCTGCTGTTGCTTTTGGTTTTTTTTCTTGTATTTCTGACCTATTAATTTTTCATTCAGTACATTCAACTGGACTATTCCATTCATAAGCTGGCTGGCCATTGTTGCTCTCTGTGTGTTCACAGTCATCCTGTATTTCATTCCACTGAGATACATTGTCCTTGTCTGGGGTAAGTAGAGACTTTCCCCTCCAGAACTCTCTGTAGAACCTAGTACAAATTGCTTTAAATTTGTGAAATATATTATCTTTAGTGAATATTTAGTGATAGTGGATGGAGAATGTTCTGTTTTTCTAAATTCACAGTAATGCTTTGAATGTGTCAGATGGAAGTTTATACCAATAAAATCAAATAAAATTGCACTCCTCTTCTTCCTCATACACATTGTCTTAACATGCATTTAATACAAATGTTGAGCCAGTATTAAAAAAATTAAAGGGTATACTGATACATTGGCATTCATGCTTTTAAATATATTGAGTCTGCATTAGCGGTTATCATTTTGGCATTCAAAACCCCAATTTGGCACTACTCATCTATGGCTTTCTGCCATGTAAAATTATTTTCTTACTGATAGAAATTACGTTAAAATCAGGAGTTCCTGTTTCTAAGGCAAAAGGTATGAAGCACTAATCAAGAATGGCTGTATAGCTAATCCAGCATGCCTATGCAATTACTTTTACAATGACATCAAAACATCAATACTGATCTATGTGAACTGTTGCTTTGTTCAGGCATCAACAAATTTACAAAGAAACTCCGAAGTCCATATGCGATTGATAACAACGAACTACTTGATTTTCTTTCCAGAGTACCTTCAGATGTGCAACTGGTCTGTATATATATATATATATATATGATGTTAAAGTTGAAGATATATTATTTTTGAAGGTTAATTTTCTAGTTAAATTGTGAGTTAATAGACAAACAGTGTAAGTTATATTACATCAATGCTTGCGTGGTTTGAAGCAACAGCTTCAGGGATATAAGTTGTTGAAAGCAGAAAACGCCACTGTAAAAGAGCAAATCATTTCACTCAGTCCACTGAAATATGAAGCAAGTCAGGCAAGGATGCTGTGATGGCAATCCTTTGCACTTTGAAAGGTCTTCATTTGATGGAGGCATTTACGTTTGCAGAAAACTGCAGCATATTCCTCAAAGAAAACTATGCTAAAATATTTCTACTGACAAGTGCCTATTTGTTCCTTGATTGTACAGTTATAATTGTAGCTATCTTTGTAATAGAGCTGTACATTGTCCTAACTTTAAAAATGTCATTTAAAAAATGTCTGTCTTTTAAAAAAAATGTCATTTGGCTTTTAAAAAGTTTTCCTTATGGAAACTAGGAGAAAGCTTTACTGAAATGTTTACTGCCATGGTCTCCTTTCCAACATACTCACTGTGTTATTTGTTATTTTTGTTTTCTTCCTTCCCCTTGACCTGCTAATTTCCATGGTTTGTGTTTTAGGAACAGTGTTAAAAGTTTGTCTGGACAATATTGCTTCCTTCCCTAAATATTTCTAGCCCCATGGTGTAGTTGTATTAAAAAAAAAATCTTTGGTTTGCTGAGTTGAAATGGATGTCTGAATTCTGTGTTTAAACAGGTGCATTATCAAGAACTGAAACCAGACCTTTCTCACAGCCCAAGTAAGAGGAAGAAAAACAACCTTAGCTAGTCAGTTCCATGTGCTGAACAGATCAGCATCTGAAGAAGGCGTCAGCAACTGAACAGATCAACATTTGAGGAGGATTTCTTCTCTTCCTAATTTTTTGTTTATTTTCTTTTGGGTAGTGATTTTTTTTAAAAAAATGGTAATCTTAATGAGAAATGTGTAAATACTGTACAGAGAGATTAAGCCGGGAAAATATTATTTCCGTTGTACAGAACTACAATGAAAGTTTGAAATTTAGCTTATGCTCGAGCTTTGTAGATGAGAATAGCCATCAATAGCATGAATGTGGAATGGTACGTGACAGACACATACAAAGGGATAAAAATGTATTAAATGTAATTAATTCATGCTAATTAATATTAAGAAACCAAATAACTGATCTTTTCCCCCAAAAAGGATGTTCACTTTAAAGTTCCATTTTATACATCTTACTAGACATGCAGAGTAAAGCAAATTCATTTATTTTATCAATCACTGCTGCAAATAACCAGATATTATAAGTTAACCAGAGCTTGCTGGAAGTAAATGAGTTACATGCAACACATAAATGTCTTAATGGATTCCCAAAGATTTAAAGAATTTCTTGATACTTTTATCATTCCACCGCCAGGTTTCGAAAAAAAAAAATTCCTATCTCTAAAATTACTGCCAGATTTATAACTGATTCCATATCTAATTTTTATAAATACTTTAATCTTGATTTGTAGTTGTTAGCCTCATGAACAACTTGCATATATTTTGTAAGCAAAATCAGTTTTAAACACATTGCCTCAGATGACAGGTTATGAACATCTTCTGTGCACCTAAGTAATACTTTAGGTTTCATTATCCTAAATTTTTATAGGAGTCAATGGAAACACATTGCAGGCAGATTTTATTTTTTCTTTAAATTAGTCTTTTCTCCAGAAGGTTAAATGGCCTATTATATGCACACCAAAAAAAGCTTACCACATATTTTTTATAGAAAACTTTCAAGGGGGTATAAAGAAGATTAATTGTGACCTCAGGGAAAAAAAGTTTCTATACTTTTCATTTAGAATATTTCTCTTGAGTTGGGATTACTGCTCAGATTTTATTTCACTACTCCAATGAAAAGATATTAACCAGTATATTTGCATTAAAATGTGGCGAAGATATATTCCTTTTTATCTATTCTTGAGCATGTCTCATGAAAACTGATTTTGGATTGTGTATTTGTTGGTTAAGAGATCTGTAAATGGATCTTGCCTAAATATACAGTCCGCTTGATAGAATACCAAACTACAAGGGGCGCTAACCCTGAACATGTTTCTTGAGTAGCCAGGTAGTTTTGATATGCATATGTACAAAGAAATTTTCTGGTTGCTTATTACTGATGGGCAATACTTAATGGAAATAAAAAGTTTTATTGATATGAATTTTGAGGAATAGAAAATAACTCTAGAACATTATGCTAATTTAAAAACTTGTTGCAAAGTATGTGAAAGGTTTTTCCCTGTGATGTCATCATTTATTATTATCTATTATCTTGTGGGGATACATTTCCTGCACAAAATACTTATTTATGTGATTAAATTTGGCTGTTTCATGTGAATTACATTAGAATAAGTGTGCGTATCTCTCTCTCTCTCTCTCTGCGTCCATCCATTTTCTGCACAAGAATGCCAAGGATTAGTGATATGAGTGTTATTTTCAATTCTTGGCTGTTTAGCAACAGCTTAACCTTAGATCAGCAATCCCCAACCTTTGCAGCTTGATGTCTCGGCTGGGGGGGGGGGGGTGTAACTGGGCCGTGTAAGCAGTGGGCTGGTGTGCACGCATACGTGGCTTGATTTGTGTAAGTTGGGTTACATGTGCGTGCAGGCCCACCACTCACTAGAGTTGAGCTGTGCACACATGCTGTCAGCGTTCCAGCAACCCTCCATTCTGCCCAATAACTCTGAAACAGGCATCTTCTCAAAAGTTCCTTTTTATTTGTGTAACTGGCACAATTCTGGGATCCCGAATCTGAAAGTTCCGGGCTTCCTTACAATAAGTAAAAACAAAATCCATCCCCTGCACCCATCATCACATCACACGGCCCAATCATCATCCATCCCAAGTTAAGACTTCCTCTCATTTATATGCAACAAAACCTGATCTTGAATCAGAAAAAGAATGTTATTATGTCTAACTAGATATACTCCAGTAATTTTCCCCCTTCCACTGTCCCAGGCTCAGATGTGGCAGTGTGGGAGCATCTGATCTCAATACGGCTTCCAAAGCTGACACATACATGTGCGCCAGCCCATCACTCATGCGACCCAGTTGCAAATAAGCCGCAGCCCAATTATGGGCTGCGGCCAGGGTTTGGGGATTCTGATCTTAGATAATTTTAGCCTGAAAAAATGACAAGTGATATTGGGCTGCCTCCTAAATCTTTCCTCTTGGTTAAGGAAGAATAAAGCAGTCAGCTTAACAATCTTCCATACTGCATTTTAAATCTCAAACTCCTTTTTATATATATGAAGAAATGTGTGAACAGAGATAACCAACCTAAAGAAAGTCCTAATTTTCACTTCTATCTATTAAGAAAGTTTTAGCCTATATTTTAGAATACTTTGAGCAAGTGAAAAAGTAGAAAAATTATAATCTTTCAGCCCTGAAAGTTTAACTTGATTTTGAGAGATGTAACACATCAAGTTTTTCACATAACAGCAGGGGATGATTCACATTTTGCAGAGGGTGCAAAATGTTTGCACGCAATTAAAAATTAATAACATTAGGTGAGACGGTTCTCGTGGTTATCATTTATATCTATTCAGTATAATTTTAGAAAGAATGGCATAGCCTGTTCTAGAAAGAGTAAGAACTTTGTTAGTGACGGGAACTTGTTCACAGAAAATTGGCTAGAAGATTTTAAAATACTTATTTTCTAGATTTACTTTTGTTTTAGATTGGGACCCATGCTATCAAATTTTTACAAATTTATCAAGGCAGAAAACCCTACTCAGCTTAATGTAATGATAGCCTGAATTCTCTTTAAATATGTCCATCACAAAACTTTCATTAGTGGACTTAGGACTTGTAATACTTGATTAATGACTGGAACTAGAACTCTATTACTAAGTGATGTGTCATAAAGCAAAAAAATAATAATCACATGACCATGCCGACTTATGATGGCAGGCCTGATCGTAGTTGTTAAGCAAATCCTATGTAGCCTTTCTGTGTGATGTCATGTGACCATGTTACAACTTCTTGCCAGGTTCCCCATTGACTTTGCTTGTTGAAAGCCTGGAATTAAGGTCACAAATGGTGATCAAGTGACTATGAGATGATATGACCATCATAATTGCATTCTGGTTACCAAGTGGCCAAATCATGGTGATGTGACTGTGATGACCAAGGGCAAGGAACGGAGGCAACAGTCAGCTGATAGTGCAAACTCCCCTTTATTGCTCCAACTTTCCCCCAAATGCTCCCACGTTTATGGCAAGTCCCAGAACAAAGTGCTCGCACACACACCTCCAGCAGCCTCTGGCTGCGAGTAGTCTAGCAAAACGCTGTTAGTACAACGGCTTTGAGGCAAAAAGTCCAGTGGGGCAAGGAAATAAGGCAATTAGTCCAATGAAGCAAACTAACAATGCAATGAGTCCACAAAGCAGAGGAACAAGGCAATTATAAGGCAAGAAGTCCAGCAAACTCCAGGTGTTGGCAACAGCACACAAAACTCCATGAATTCAGCGCTTGTTCCCATCAAGTGCCCCTCTCCACTGCCTCTCCTTCAGTCTTAGTCCCCATGTCTACCTTGTGAAGAGGGGCAGGGCATTTTCCCAAGTCGGGTCAGCCTGCACTGTTCCCATCTCTCCACTCTCTGTGCTTGTGGATCAGGAGGGGGCGGTCCTTGCTCATTGCCTGAGTTCCATCGCTCCTCATCTCCACTGCCTGCTCTATCTTCCCCCCTCTCTCGGTCATCCTATCCATGTTCTTCCCTGCTGGCAAGCCGTTCTAAGCCCAAGGGGCCCGGGGCTGCCTCATCTTATTCCTTGTGTTCCTCCAAAGCCAATGAGACCGCCCCCTCAACCTCCCATCATCTCCAGCACTGGCTCATCTCTGCGGACTCGGGCTCTGAGGGGACCATGACAGTGAATGCTAGGGTGCCATGAAGGGCATAACTTCGAGGACCAGTCACAGGTGTCTTCATTCAGCGCTGTCATAACTCCAAATTATTGCTGAACGGGTGGTCATTGGTTTTTTTTGTGCTGATCAAAAACAGACAAAAGAACAAGTAATTCTTCAGGTTCTATGAACACTCCAAAAATAATAGATTGATAGAGAAGATATATTGCATTGTCTACATGGCATTTATATTAAAAAAATAACAATTTAAGAGCCATCATCCCATACAAAGAAAAGGTCTCCTTTCAAAAATTTACATCAAATTGATACATCATATTTTTAATGTTCATTTAATATATAACATAGAAATTTGAGGACATTTCAGATAATTCAAAAGTATACCTTTATAAAAAATTAATAAGGATTGGACTTCTTGGAAAGTAATTGTGAAATGTGTGTCTCTGCTTTCAGCAGAGCTTACAACTGTGGTGAAATGACAACTCAGCAAGCAGATTAAAATGTCAATTTTCTTCTCTGTATAAAGGGGAGGAGCTGGGATTGCCAATAAACACTCCATACAAAGGCTCCCAGTGGGAAGACAAACAGTGGTCTGCAACAGGATTTAGAGCTCTGGAAGCTGTTTTGCCCAAGCAAAATACCGTCTTCAAACGGTATTGGATTCCTCCACTTCTTTATTACTTCAGGAACTTGCTTGTTAACTGCTTTTTGAATATCAAAAACCTTCAGAATAACAAGTTTCACTGTACTGGGCATTCTCCTTCAATATTCAGTGAAAAGTTTCATGTAAGTTTAAGAACTTTAAAAAATATTCTGAAATAAAAAGCAAAAGGAAAGATATAATGTTGATTTTGAAAAGTTATACATGGACTAAGGGGCCAGATGGATTGGAAATAAGATTTGAAATTATAAAAATCATTCCTAATGGATTGTTTAAAATCCTTTTAAAATGTATGAAGTTTTCTCTTTAAGTATTAGAAATTATTTTGTTTAAAAATATTGGGAATAAGAAAAAAACATGAGAACATCTTGAAGGCTTGGCACTAGAAGCAACCAGAAATTAATTACAATTTAAAAAGGCCCACTAATGTAGAATAAAGTATTTTTATTTTGGCAAAACTTAAGAATATTTGGGAACAAATTTCTATAGTCTGCTACCATTGTATTAAATAAAAAGCAATCTTATTTTTTCTATTGCATTTTTATTTATTT